CGGAAGGCCTGTTGAGAGCTGAAGCAGCACCCTTGCGACGCCGCTTGAGGGAGTCACTGTAGGGAGAGGTGCCAATCGTCGTACCAGCAGTATCAGACAAGATCTTGTGGAAGGTGTAAAACTCCGGTCGGGAGCTAAAGGCCTGGGAATGCTTGCCAAAGATATCTCGCGCAGCAGCGGCTGAGTTAATGACGACGATGGGGATGTTGCCAAGCTGGATCTGGTAGACAGATCCAAACTTCTTAGACCATTGTCGGTACTTCTCGGCCGCATTGACGCGGATATCCCATATGTTACCAATGATAGGCAATCCAGAAGGACCCTTCAGGCCGTTGAGTCGTGCACTGTGCCGCACGAATTCATTGGCGAAGAGATAGATGATCGGGGCTAGGATCAAGGATAACACGACCGACAGGGCAGGGCTCTCCTGCACGAAGCCGTTGAGCGACAGAATGAGGTTTGCAATCGTCATGGCTGTGCACAAATAATTGAAAAAAGATCGTTTTATTGAGCCCGGGAATGCCAGAAGTGACGAAGCAACGATGAGATCTATCAGTCTTGAAGGCCTCAATTTAAAACCCCAAATAAACCTGCGTTACAATATATGCCGTTGCTTTCCATCCACTCACTGCTCGGAATCGATTGCTCCTCCGTTTCTCCATCAAGTTAGACATTTGGCCCGTTTTTACGTATTAAGTACATACTCTCTCGTAATATGCTGCAAAGTACAAAGCCTGGAAGCCAACGGTTAGCCCGAGGCATGTGGCGATCTACCTGTGTGGAGGTGGGCGCCTGAATGCGGGGGAGAGCTAACAACAATCGATCCCTCTCCGGAATTGTTCCGTAAATTCCGAGCGGCTCCCCGGTCAAGAACGATATCCCTGCCTAATAAAATCCTCGGAAGCTCGTCTTCTCAACATTTGCGTTGCATTTCCGCGTCTGACTTGTCTGGCATCATGTCAACTCCGTCGGAGAAGGCCGCTCATGAGCACACTGAGCGCACTGAAGGCACCACTCCCAGCAGCGCGCCTGCCCCCCCGAACCCACGCAAGCGGCCTGGTGGCGACGGCTTCCGTAGAGGGAAGCGCGGGAAGTACACATCTGTGGCATGGTAATTATTCACTTCACTTGTCTAGTGGCCCATTGATCAGAATGCTCACCCATGTCTAAGTGATGAATGCAAGAAGAGGAAGCTCAAGTGCATCCCTGTCGATGAATCGGGCTGCCAGCGATGTATCGACGGGGGGCTAACTTGCGTCTATGTGCCTGGCGCAAACCACCCACCTGCCAAGGAGAAAATTGATAGGCAAGTTTGATATGTCCCCTTAATTTATACAGAGGCTATGGAACTAATACGATCTACTTCATTTCAGCAATACTCAAATCCAGAATCTGAGCGAGGAGCTCCTTCAACTCCGAAACCAGGTCTCGGAGCTTGCAAACACAGTCAACTTAGTAAAGGGTCTCAAAGATCATCCTCTGGTTACTCGTCTTGGCTCTTCTCCCGGCGGAGAAACAACCATTGTTGGTCCCTCACCAGCCAGCTCACAGAGGGAGTGTGTCCCAAAAGGCCCTCAGTTTGTAGGACCTACTCGGCCCGCCTTTGGCATTATTATTGGGGAGCGATCGCTCACCCGCATGGGCATTCCAACTTATGAATCTCTTCCTCCCAGTGGTGCCCAGTCTCCAGCAAGCCCAGCCAGGGAGTTTGCGAGCCTCGATAATTACTGGGAAGATCTCACACCACATGAACTCGCTCGTCTCATGACTGTGTTCCAGGAAGAGATCGAATCTGTCTACCCGTTCATCAACATCGGCGAGCAGGCTGCCAAGGCCGATCAAATAGTGCATGCCATCAGACATGAAGATCTATTAAGCGACACCCCTGGACTCGGACTTACCTCTGAAGATGTCGACATCGCCAAGGTGGCAATGGCTACGGCCATCGTGCTCGAAACGTATGGAAAGACGGAGTTGAGCACCGTGATCATCTCCTCAGTCGAAAAGAATGTGCATGTGATAGCCCGACCAAAGGTCACTCTCAAAGGAATTCAACTACTTACCATGTTGGTGCGTCCGCCCTACCCATGCCTAACAGGCCCTTTTATTTTCGCGTTTCATGAACTTACACTCTCACAGAGCATTTATTATTTCCATTCAGATGACGAACTTCTCGCATGGCGCACCATTGGCGTCGCAGCCCGAGAAGCCCTCGAAATGGGCCTCCATCGGAAGAAGAGTTTATTCGACAACTTCAAGGATATTGGGGAACGTCACCTTGCCAGTAGGGTCTTTTGGTGTGTTTATGTGTTAGATCGCCGCTGGAGCTTCGGAACATCGTTGTCCTTTTCATTAATTGACAGAGACATAGACCCTGAGCTTCCTGAACCAGTCAGTCAACTTCAGCTCAATATCTTATCCCCCCTCTGGATCCCTTGACACTGACAACGCTGTAGGACGAGAACTTCTCGTATCTCAGGTGCATGGTAGGCTATGGGCGTCTCTGCTCCAAACTTTGGGATGCAATCCCTCCTTTCGGATCCCACTCTCAGTCGATCCCTGAAGATACAGTTATTTCCCTCGATTTGAGAACGCAAACTTGGCTTCAGTCCATACCTCCAGATCTTCAACTTCGCCATCCCCGTCTGGGGCTCGCACCTCGTTCCCAACCACGTATTATTCACCGTCTACGTGCAATTCTATACTTGCGAGGAAACCACACAAGAACTCTCATTTACAGGCACTACCTCCTCAGCGCCCAAAGCATCTCCGCAAACCTAAGGAATGCATGGCTTGTCGTCGACATTGCCCAGGACAGTATCCAAGTGCTGGTGCACCTCAACTCAACTACCGATATATACTCTCGTCAGCAGAATGCCTTCAACTATTTCCTCACAAGCGCCCTAGCGATCATCTTCTTAGCTGTGTGTCACGCCCCGGATATTTTCTCTGGGCCCTGCCGTAAAAGCTTCCTAGATGCTGTGGAACTCATCCACAACTTCTCTCGACATAGCATGGTTAGCAAGAGATTGTGGAACAGCATCCGTGGACTGCTTCCTCGACTGAAAAGTCTGGGTGTACAGCAGAGCTCGTCAGATGAGAGTAACCATGAAGGTACAATGGGCAACAAAATCCCTCCTGCCAACAAACCATTACTTAATCACCGCCTTGAGAATAATCATCAGTTGCATGGAACTGATAATGTCAACCCGGGTGAAATTGAGACTGAGAATGGTCTTGTCCCAGAATTAGACATGGGCGCTATCCCAGACATGTTCCAGATGAGGAACGATCTCCTCTCACTATTTGATGTTTTTGAACAAGGCCAAATTCTTCCCGAAGGCTTCGGCACTCCATTCTTTGACGACGGGGAGCTGAATGGAATGGGGGATGAAATATCACGGCGATTCCAGGGGTTGATATAGAAGACTTGAACTTGCCCTTTCCAGACAACGCATACAAACACATAAAAAACTTGATGAACGTAAACGAATTAGATAGATGAAATATCATAGTATTTAGTTTTAAGGCTACTATTTTGTGTCCATGAATACCTTTTCTCTATAAATGATTGCCCATCTGACCTTTCTACCTCTTGAGATTTACTCAAGTTCATTCTCAAAAAACGCCATCATTGCACCCTGGTGGACCGACTTGGCGAAGACCTTCAGTTCAGCATGCGCCGCACATTCATCATCGTAATACTTCATATCGTCTACTGAATCAAATACTGAAACAACCGCGATAGTGTATCCTTGATTTCGCTGGTCGGCCTTTGTAGGTCCGGCTTTCACAGCACGAATGTAGGGCTTGCCGTCCTGGGGTATAATGAGCAATTACTCCAGCAGGCTATCCATACGCTTCGCTTCAATACTGACCTTGACAGCTTTATGAGGCATTTCCTTATAGATGCTCAACAGCTTCTGCTGGTTCTCCACATCGGGAATCTTGAAGAGGGTAATGCGATTGATCGAGCTGGACATTTTGTTGAAACGATTAGGCCAATCCTCCTTAGGTTATATTGAAGATTAAACAAAAAAAAATGTACCCAATAAATTCTATCGTGGTATTAGCTAGTATTTGGTGCATGTATGATATCTAAATATATGCGAAAGTCGTGAGCAGAGTTGCAAAGCAATTCCGTCGGAAACGGTATGCCTAGTTCCGGAAGGCTGGGGGAAGCCAGGCCGAAGAGGGGCGAGGCCCGTCCGGCGGAACAGACATAGTAAGGTCATAATTTCAGAATTGCGAGCTGTGACTGTAAGATTTAGTGGTTTTATTGGCAAGTAAAGGAAATAATTGAGGCAATTTGGTCTTCCATTCTTGCTTGAGCACCATGAAAACGCCCTCGATATAACCGTTCGGCCGACTCCATCCGGCTCGCCAATTCTTCCGAATATTCACACAATTGGTTGTCATTGAGAGCCTCTCGATGTAATTTTTGGTTCAAGTATCCAGACTGAAAGTTTCAATTGGATTGATCCGTTAATTCTTCATTGGGCAGATGTCTTGTACCTCTCCCAATTGAGGCTCCTCCCGACTCGCGGGACGAATCCAATAACCACCTCAGGTTTCAGAATATTCCCAACAGTGATCCAACAGGAATTGAGGCTACATCCTCATAACACTAGTAGCCCGTCTAATCTTGGTTGCCCTTCAATCAATATACGTAGAATATGACGCAAAAAATAATTCAAGCAGGTCTATGTGAAGAGCCCGTTCTCAAATCACGAAATCTCTAATTCACCAACAAAGGTAGCCATGGGAGACAACTTGCCAGTCCAGTCATCTACGACAGAGTTTTTTTTTTTTTTGTCCCTGCTATTCCCCGCTATGTTTATGCCTGAGTCTCAGCATCCCTTGCCTGATACAACAACAACCCTATCAACAGGGCTGAGACGACACGACCACACGAACAGAAGATGATCGACAACTGATTCATTCGGTGATCGATTCGACACCCACACCTCATGAGCAACAAATCTTTGCCAGTTCCCAACGGCCGCGTGGCCTAATGGCTAAGGCGTCAGATTTCGGTTACAAGCGCACACCGACTTCTCTGAAGATTCCAGGTTCGACTCCTGGCGTGGTCGCATACATTCGCGCATTTCTTTTTTTGGCGTGTTGTTAACTTTATTTTTTTTCTACCTTTCCGTTCTGCTGTTCGGCGCTTGTGGGCATGTGCCTGTCAGCGTTGAGAATAACAATCAAGATAGTACCAGAAGAATAGTCTCTGTTACTTATTTCTTCTTTTTTTTTTTTTGCCCCTAGACAACTCTATGATCCCCAATTCCTGAGAGTTATTGGTGCTTGGATTGAGCATCTTAGGTTAGAACCCCACCGTCCTAACCAGAAGTTTAATGCATGAATCTGGCAAAAAACATCATCGAGCTGTTCTCTTGGCTCTGTGTGTAGGCCGATCACGTACAATTGCAAGAAATTAGATGAGACGGTAGAGTAACTCAAATATTCAAATTACAGGCATAGGTCAATAAGAGAGATGAAGTTGAATCATAAAGTATGGGGAGCTGCTCTGGCCCGCTATGACAGGGTAGCCGAAAGGAGCTTCTGTAGCATGACCATCTCACATTCTGGATTCTGGATAAAATAAGTTTTGTGATAGCCAATCAAAGAAAAGAAAAGGAATGGTTTAATTTTATAATTAAGACACGCCCTGTGCCGCTTTTGCAAGAACTGCAACAACAGTTCATATTGAGGTGTGGGTTAAATGCCATGCTTCTGGATAACGAATGTGTGAAAGAAGCTATTAGGATCTCACCGTGCTTAGTTCCAGTTGAAACCAGCACAAATTCAAATAACTCACAAAATTATAGAGGTACTACTACTCAGAAACGAAAATTATTAATTCACCTATTTCTTTAATTACATCGCGTAAAGAACTTTTTAGATTGAAATACGGCCTGCTCGCAGCACTGGACATGACGAGCTGAGTGTCGATTCAATTCGGAACAATGTTATTCCGACCCACCAAGATTTTGGCAAGGCTGATGGAGCTCCCAGCATTGATCTTCGTCACAACAGAACTGTACTACTCGAGTCTCGTCGCAGCCTTCCCCGACTTTCGACGCTCACCCTCGCCCTCATCGATCATATTATTCGATTCTAGTATTCTCGTTTCTATCGATTCAAAATGACTGGTCGTGGTGGTGGCGGTGGTCGCCGTGTTCTCCTCCCTCCTATGTAAGTATCTAGCTGTTCGCCAAGCTGTCCGCCAGTTTGGCCGTGATAACCTCATCCCTTCTCGAGTGTGCCTAGATACTAACAGATCGCAGTAACTACATCTTCAAGATGCTCCAGTCAGTAAGTGACATTGAATAAACTCGATTCATCCGTCAAGAATACCCAAGCTATGCGATCGACGTCGAACTCCGAGAATGCAAATGGCTGAGCCTGGTGGGGGGATTGATGGGGAAAGGCATCGATTATGGTGTGAATCTGCACCATTTTCAGTACATGATCTGTCCGATCTGAATCCCATGAAATATTTTGCTTCACTCGCCATTGGCCATGGCCTTAGCGAGAGATCTCTCAACAACACCAATCCCCCTACTAGGCCGTTATAGCTCTTGGAGCTCGTGTTATATCAAGACTGATATGCTTGGCTCCCTATATGTTTTGGTCTAACTGATGGCAGCGTGAAACTGTGAGCGTGTGGCTCTACGAGCAGCTCTCTATTCGCATCGAGGGCAAGATCAGAGTATGTGGAACTTTCCTGCGGTAGCTAAAGTTATCATTTCTAATGAGAGGTTAGGGTTTTGACGAGTTCATGAACCTCGTCATCGACGATGCTGTCGAGGTCAGACAGAAGACCAAGACGAATGACAAGGAGACGCGGAGATCATTAGGTATGAATCGAGCCTTGTCTCGGTGTTTTGGCGGTTGCGCTAACCTTTTGACAAAGGACAAATTATGTTGAAGGGTGACAATGTGTCGTTGATTCAGAACTTGTCGACTGTTTGAGAAGAGAATGCTGTTTGACGGAACTGAGGCGTAACGGCTCGAAGGAACGGGGACCATATACCACAGGGTAAAGACCAAAGCCAAATGGCTTATGACCAGCGCATGAGAGACCGCTGTGACCCTTTACAACACTATAACCACGGCACGGATCCTCAATGCTCGGGAGAACTAGGTGTTAGGAGAGGCTACTGCTAACGGAGGCTCTTACACTTGGAAAAAAGGATACGTATTCGTTCTCAATCGCAGAAATTATTTTGGGAGGGCTGGCTTCAACCCTCTTGATGCTTATATTACTTGGAGACCCTATCACTTGTTGGCCGAAAGATGTTACTCTGCGTCAAAACAAAAAGGAACAGTTACGCTATTGAGCCTTCAGCAGGGCTGTGTTCATTACTTTGTGACGTAGGGAATTGACCAGGTTTTGGTAGAACGGGGGGCCCTTGGAGTTCTATTTGCGACTTTCGTGACTGTGAAGTTATAACATGATTGAGACAGTTAGGATATGAAGTAGCTGAGGTCGAGGCTAAATCTGACACACACTGACCGATGACAACTGACAACCTACAAGATAAGCCAGGAATGGAAAATCGACATTTACTCATAGAGTTGGTGGTGAGGACCCAACGGATTAGAAATGAGAACCGCCGACCGTGACGTGAGCCTATTGCTCTGGGGCCACGTATCGAGAGGGCTTGTGGGAACGGAGAGGACAGGGAGATGCTTGATCCAAATCGGTGGCCATCAAGCAACCCCATGGAATGCTTCTCACGCCGAGATGACATGATGAACGGGCTCAGCTTCGGTGTCAATTTCATGCTAACAAGAGTCTCATCGGATCCGGAACTCTGCAGCTGTCCAATTGTCCAAATACTTGGTGACATACTCCATACTGAGAAAGTGTCCGAACTCGCTTGGCGGATTACGAAGAGGCAACTCCGCCTTGGCCCCTTGGTACTGGAAATTAGAGCCAAGATACATCTTTGTGCCCTGGCGTCTTTTACAGGAAACCCAACCAGAGCAAGAAGTCCCTACCCAGAGAATGTTGTTGTGTTCACATCGGTTCGATCGGACGCAGTTTTTAGGCATGAACCTTAGGCTTGGTTATATCCGTCGTCCAAGCACAACACCCCCCCTTTCCCCCTCATTCACATCCTCCATGCTGCCATTTCTAGGTTTCGGTCTGTGGCTAGAACTTGGGCCTGGGTTCTTCTTTGAGTTATTATTTGCCGTTTTCTTGCAGGCTTGCCCCTCCCTCCCGGGGAGGGGAACATCAGCCGTGAGGTTAGTCCTCGGATAAACAAGTGACGGATCGAAGACAGATTGTCATGCAATAAACCACACGGCATCATATGTTTTTTTCCCTCTGTGTCTCGTCCGCACCAAATGACCCTGAAAAATGTGCGAGCATGGGGGGTTTGAGGGCTGGGGTATTCCCCGCGGAGAGATGATGCGTCACACCACCACCAAGTCCAATGGAAACGAAACTCGCACGACAGCGTTGGCTCTCCACGCGCTTTGGGGGTTACAGTGACAGCAATACTACATCGGGTGCAATGCTAGGGAGAAAAGAGAACCTGTTGAATGGAGGAAACAGGACCAGGGTTTATTATTTTCCTCCAAGTACCGTTCCGTTTGCTTCTTTCGCATGTTCTGTGCAGCAAAGCGCGCCTCAGCGTCGGTCAGTTTTATCACCGATGTTACCGTCAAGCACCATGTCGTTGGACTGAATTGACAGCCCAAGAGCACCAATGAGGCCAACCTGACCTAGTCCCGACCCAGGACATGGCGTCCGGTGGCTGCCGGCGGTCTCCAAGAAGCTAAACCTATTACCTCGTGTGCTTCTTTTGTCCTGGTAAAGAATACAAAAATCCGGAAAGTAAGTGGTTGGAGATGAAGGCCTCAACTCCGGTTCTGTTTGAAGTCTTGCTTGGCTAACAGTTGCTAAACCCCACAGCTTACAGTCCACGTAAGCCAAAATGCCGATTCTGGTCGATGTGCACGGATGGAATCTGGAACATGGAGTAGTTACAGACAGGGGAAATGTCAACAGAGATGATGAAGGACTTCTTCCAGAAAAGCCGAAGGACGGAGCTGGCCGCTAGCACAGCGGTAAATCACGGCTGAATCACAAAGTGACGGGCATAATTGGTAGGTGACAACATCTGAGGCTGCTTATGGGCTAATAACTGCAATGGTGGCGTTTGCGAACACGCCAGGTAGAGTTCTACAACAATTCGGAGCGATGGACTGCACAGTTTTGGGAGTACGTTCGTGACCATTGGTCGCAGAAGAGACCAAAGCTCTTGAGGTCATGAGGGGTTGAAGTTTTGACTCTTTGATCTAAGCCATCTGCATCTGCCATAGCAGCATCTGACCTGGATGCAATACATTGTATCTTGTGAATCTGGTAACAGTTCCAATGACATCCATATGTGTACCATGGTAAGCAAATCCAGAAGGTCCAGGCACTGTCCAGACCCCTCCCCAGGTCACCCAACACTGAACACACCCCGCCTGAGGCTGGAGGCTTCAACTCCGTGCAAATGACTCGCTCACCGTTACTTGCGTTTGGAACCTTATTTCCCGACGCCGCAAATTCCAGCCCAGTGCGTCTGGGGGGCCAGTCAGCTGCTGCAGCATCCTTGGACACGGGTCTTCTGGAAGGGGGGAGGAAGGGTGAGATGAAAACAGTGTGGACGATGAAATTCGAGTGCAGGTTGCGAGACTATTGAAGATCTTGGATTCTAGAACTTTCGAATTATGTGGCTTTAAGCCACCCACCTCTCTGTAAGAAATTAGAATTCGATTGTGTTGTGAGGTTGAAACCTCATTTGTGTTCTCGATGTACTAATCTGTATATAGGAATGCGTATGAGATTTTCAGCAAGGGTACGTGTGAATAATCCATCGCCGTGCCCCCTAAAAGGTGAGGGGCTTGTGACGCTTTGTGGAGATTACTCGCCAGTAGCTACGCCGAAAGTCCAGATTTAAACAACATTGATTTCTGTAAACGGTCAGCCTTATCCAGATTGGCCTCCGTATGGGTTGTCCCAATTGAGGCTGAACTGCCTGTCCAAGAGTCCCTGGAACTCTGGCTGCCCCTCATCCTTTAC